GTAAGTGTTGGGTTTAGTTGTGTATCGCTGCGTGGAAAGCTAGGCAGGTTGGCTTTGTGTGTCGTGTTCCTGAGTGTTAGTTGTTGCCCGTGTGGGTTTCGTCGTATAGCCGGGAATGGTTTAGGAGCAGTGAAGTTCAGTTTTGAGTCTTCGAACGGTCGCCTGTTAAAACAAGTGGAAGTATGTGGGAATCGGGGTAGCGTGGCGTGGAGTGAGAAACGGCCTCATGGATGTGTTGATTGACGTGGTGAGTTTGCGGTGGGCAGATGTTTGTTTGTCTGTGGACGTGGGAAATTGTAGTTGTGGGGATGGAGTGGGTGCGGCTCGTATACCGCCGAGGCATTGAAAGGAGGCCTGTGTTGTGTTGTGTTGGTAATGGCATGACACAACAGGCGGATTGTGTTGGGGGATGTTTGAGCAACGGGGCACAGCGTGGTTAGCGGTGCAGAAGGAATGCTATGGAGATGCGACACTGTGTTTGTGTCTGCGTGTGTTGATGGTAGCAATTGGACATTGTGTTGTCATGGGTGGGACTTTGGTAATTGATACATGAATATTTTTTTAAGGTGTTGAGGGTCTTGGTGACGTGGGGGGCATTGGTGAGTATGGGTGAGGGAAGGTGGATAAGGAGACTAGAGGATTAAATGTTTGGTGGGTATGTTTTGTTAGGGTGTCTTTCGATGAGGCTTGTTTTCTTCAGGGGCTCGCCGAGTTGAGATTATTTGCGAGGGAGTGTATATGAGTAGAGCATTGAGGTGTTGATGGGAAGGTGCCTGTGGGGGTTAGGAGGTGCAACGCATGCAGATAGTAGGTGTTTGGTACGGAGTGTAAGTGGATACGGGTGGGGGCACTCGGAGGTGATGCTGATTGACTGTTGTGTCTGTGCATGTAGATGATCGCAATTAGATGTTGTGTTGGTACGCTTCGGCTTTTTCATTTGTTATTTTTCCAGCGTTGTTTGGTGTTGCCGGGCTTTGCAACGGGGCCGGCATCGGTGCGTGTGTGTGTGTGTGTGAGAGGGATGGTGGAGGAAGATACTGTAAGATTAGATGGCTGGGAGGTGTGCGTTTTGTTAGGGTGACTTTTGGTCTGTTACACTTTGTGGCTGCGTTGCGTTGTTTGGAGTGATTTGCAAGTTAGGCAAGAGGAGAGGTGCATTGGGTTGTTGATGGGAAGCTACCTTTGGGGGCTATGAGGTGCAACACTCGCAGGGCGTAGGTGTTTTATATGATGGATGGATGGGTACGGGTGGCTTGTTCGCAGTAGACGCTGGTTGTTTGTGGAATGGTTGTTTCCCAGGTAGGTGTTGAATGGAGGTGTGTCTTGGAATGCGAGGCAGGTTTACGCTTTTGTGGTATGTCGTTGGAGCTTGATTGTTTGTGTTTTGTGGGTTTCTTTGTTCCGACATGTTTCGTGTATCTCTTGATAGGGTTAAGGTTAGTTGAGAGGTAGATTAGTGGGGTGCTATATTGGCTTGGTGAGAGGAAGGTAGGTGTGTGGTTCGGCTGTTGCGAGTGACGCATACACTAGATGTTGTGTTTGCCGTGTGACTGGACGCGATTGCACCTGCTCGCAGTGCATGGTGGTTGTCGGGCGATTGCTTGATGCGCAGCTAAATGGTGGGAGGGGTGTTCCGCCTTGTCGAATGTTAGACAGGTTGGTGTTTGCCTTGTGCTGTTAAGCCGCAATTGTTGTTTATATGTGTTGTTTTACAGGGGACGGTGCATCAGAAGGAATGTTGAATTGCGAGTACATGGAAGGACAGCTGGAAGAAAGGGGAAGCATCTCCAAGCGGGCGGCGTGGCAAGGGGCAGCTTCGGTGTGTTAGTGGATATTCTGAGTGGGTGGAGCAAGGTCTTGTGGGTTTGTACGTACGTGTGGGGATTATGTGCCACGGCCGAAGAGTAGCGTGGATGCGAGCAACGCCGATGTAGTTGAGTGGTGAGTGTGTTCCGTTGTGTTGGGAATGGTTTGATACGCATGCCAAGTTTGTTTGCTGGTGGTTGAAGTTCCAACTCTGCAGCAGATGGTGTGTTGGCGTTTAGCAGGGACCTTGGTGTGTATGCAGCAGAGTGGATATTGGATATTATAGTGGTGTGGATGGATATTCGGTATTTGCTAATATTTTGGAGTTTGAGGATCTAGGAGGGAAGGGCCACGTGGTGTGCATGGGCGTGTTTCTGTGTCAGGGAAGATGGAAATGTTGATTACGAGACTAGGTGGGGAGGAAGTGGTGTATGGTTGGGTGTGTGTTTGTGTGGCATGGGGGTTGAGGTTAGTTTGTATCGATGTTAGAGGATTGGTGTGTTGGGTTGGTCAGCGGAAGGTAGGTGTGAGGCTTGCGATCTACAGCTGAAGCAGAACGTAGGTGCTGTGTATAGGGAAGGGGGGGATACAGCCGTGGTTGGTCGAAAGACACGCGCTTTGTTGTCGGAGTGTTTGTTGGCCAGCTATTGGCTGGATGGCTGTGTGTTGCATTGTGCAGAATGTTAGGCAAGATGGATTTGGCTCTTGTGTTGGTGAGGCGTGTTTATTGGGGGGTTGATTGTTGTATATGAGGACCTGCGTTAGAATTAATGAAGTTGTATTGTGAGTGCCCGGACGCACGGACGAGCATCTGGAAAAGTGGATGGACATATGTGTCAGTGGGGTTAGCGTGTTGTGGAGTTAGTGAAGGGCAGGTTGCGTCACTTGCTTGCTATCACGAGTGCGTGGTGTGCATCTCTGCGGGTGTGTTCGTGGATGAAGGGGCTTTATGCCATGGACGGGTAGCCGTTTTGGTGCATGGAGCGGAGAGACAGTTGAGTGTGAAGTGTGTTGCGTTGTGTTCGGTTTGGCGTCGCACCTTCGTCGAAGTGCTGTTTCTGGCGTTTGAAATTTACACCAAGTTGGAGTCAGTGCGTTTCGGCCTACTGTATATAGGAGGGCGTATTTATATGGCGACACTCGGCGTGTTCGTGTGGCGAAGGGTGGAGAACGAAACCATACGATAAGACCCGTATATTGTGCAGTTTGTTTGGGTGTGTGTGGATGCGGCATCTCTCGTTCATGTGTTGATGGGGATGCGTGTAGCTTCCAGGCATGGTAGAGGCGTCTATTGTGTTGGTGATGAACGCGTAGATGTATGGCAAGCGCGTTGGAGCCTGCGCATATAGTAGGAGCTGTGCATGGTGTATGGATGGATACGGATGTGTCTGGTCGGAGTAGTTAGGGGTTGCTGATGGAATGTTTGCTGCCTGGATAGGGGTTGGAAGGATGTGTGATGCTGCATGTAGAGTGTTGAACAGGTTGGTGATTAGTGGTGTGCTGTTGAGGCGTGTTTGTTGTGTGGTGGGGTTTATTTTATAGGAGAACGTGCGTTAGAAGGACTGTAATCGGTTTTTGAGTGCGCTTAAGAGAACGTAGGCGGACGTCTGTGGGGACGGTCTGCGAGTTAGACTTGCTTATCGCGGAGCAGACGAGGTTAGAATGAGTCTTCTGGTTCATGCCAGGAGTGCGTGGATTGGAGGTGAGGGTTTGTATGTGGGCGTTGGTGTTTGCTCTTGTGGAGGCCGAGCAGGTAGCGTGTGCGGAGCAGTGATGTGGCTGAGCGATGCATGTGACAAGTGGTAGACGGGGTGCGGTGGAACGGGACGCTACGTTTGGTTGGAGGTTACAACCGTTATACACAGGGGGAGGCTGTGCGTTTTTTCGTTGCAGGAATATGAAGGACATCTTCTAGTGTGTCTTTGTCTGACGGTGTGCATTTTGGAGAAATGTGGATGTATTTAATATTTGATATATTGTGAGCGTTCTACGAAATAGGGGGGTTAGACAACGTGGCTAGCATGATTGTGGTTTGGGGTGAGTAACAGGAAAGCGATACTATAAGATTAGACGGGGATTGTGCGTGATCGGCTTGGTTGTGTCTTGGTGTGGCATATCTCTTGTGAGATCGTTCCGGTTCTTGATTATCTTTACGAAGAAAGTAAGAGGAGATCGACGTTGAAGCTGTGATAGGAAGATACATTTGAGGCTACCGAGATGCACCTCACGAAGCTCGAAGGTGTTTTATATGGTGTATGATTGGTTGCGGGTGTGCTTGTTCGCCATAGGTGTTGGTTGTTGGTGGAATGCTTGTTGCCAAGGTAAGTGTTGGGTTTAGATGTGTATCGCTGCGTGGAAAGCTAGGCAGGTTGGCTTTGTGTTTCGTGTTCCTGAGTGTTAGTTGATGCCCGTGTGGGTTTCGTCGTATAGACGGGAATGGTTTAGGAGCAGTGAAGTTCAGTTTTTAGTCTTCGAGCGGTCGCCTGTTAAAACAAGTGGAAGTATGTGGGAATCGGGGTAGCATGGTGTGGAGTGAGAAACGGCCTCATGGACGTGTTGATTGATGTAATGAGTTTGCGGAGGGCAGATGTTTGTTTGTCTGTGGACGTGGGGAATTGTAGTTGTGGGGATGGAGTGGGTGCGGCTCGTATACCGCCGAGGCATTGAAAGGAGGCCTGTGTTGTGTTGTGTTGGTAATGGCATGACACAACAGGCGGATTGTGTTGGGGGATGTTTGAGCAACGGGGCACAGCGTGGTTAGCGGTGCAGAAGGAATGCTATGGAGATGCGACACTGTGTTTGTGTCTGCGTGTGTTGATGGTAACAATTGGACATTGTGTTGTCATGGGTGGGACTTTGGTAATTGATACATGAATATTATTTTAAGGTGTTGAGGGTCTTGGCGACGTGGGGGGCATTGGTGAGTATGGGTGAGGGAAGGTGGATAAGGAGACTAGAGGATTAGATGTTTGGTGGGTATGTCCTGTTAGGGTGTCTTTCGATGAGGCATGTTTTGTTCATGGACTCGCCGAGTTGAGGTTATTTGCGAGGGAGTGTATATGAGTAGAGCATTGAGGTGTTGATGGGAAGGTGCCTGTGGGGGTTAGGAGGTGCAACGGATGCAGTTTGTAGGTGCTTTATTTAGTGCATGTTTTGGTGCGGGTGTGCGGGTTCGCCGTAGGGGTTCGGTGCTGGTGGAATGCTTGTGTTCCCAGATACGTGTTGGATGGAATTGTGAATTAGTATGTTGATGCTAGGCGTTTCTGGTGTTGCGCGTCACTATGTTGATGCTAGGCGTTTCTGTTGTTGCGCGTCTGGGGTTCCTTCTAGAGGGGAGCGTGTCAGGAGCACTCTAGTTCAGTTGTGAGTCTTCGACCTGTGACCTTTTAAATATGGTGGACGTATGTGCAACTGGAGGCACTGTGATGTGGAATGGTGAAGAGGAACATGGATGTGTTGGGTTATGTCACCAGCTTGTGGAGGCCGCATGTGTGCTTGTCTGTGGACGTGGGTGACTCTAGTTGTGGGGTTTTGGGGGGCGGGGGGG